AAACCACTTGCTACTGTTTCAGACAGGGTCTATTGCTCATGCTGATCAGCCTGGAGTGAAGTAGAGAAATCATGACTCAGTGAAGTCTTGACCTTCCAGGCTCCAGTGATCCTTCCATCTCAGCCTCCCAGACAGCTTGGACTACATGCAGGCTCCAATACCCATGGCAAATTCTGTCTTTTTTTTTTTTTTTTTTTTTTTGTAGAGGTGAAGTGTCTTTATGTTGCCCAGGCTGATCTCAAACTCCAGGGTTCAAGCAATACTCATGCCTCAACCTCCCAATGTACTGAGATGAGAGGCATGAGCCACCTCACCTATCACGGAACCACTTTCTTATCCCTGAAAGCAGGACAAAGGAGAACCGTGCCTGCAAGCCCTACTGGGGAACCTTGTGTCCTTCTTGCTACCATGTTATTATTTCCTCTGTACCAATTGCAGCATTTCTCTTTTCTTTTTTCTTTTTCTTTTTTTTTTTTTTGAGATGGAGTCTTGCTCTGTCACCCAGTCTGAAGTGCAGTGGTGCGATCTCGGCTCACTGTACCCTTGTCCCCGGGATAACTGATTCTCCTGACTCAGCCTCCTGAGTAACTGGGACTACAGGCGCATGCCACCATGCCCAGCTAATTTTTTTGTATTGTTAGTAGAGACAGGGTTTACCGTGTTAGCTAGGGTCTGGATCTCCTGACCTCATGATCTGCCTATTTGGCCTCCCAAAGTGGGGGATTACAGGCATGAGCCATCGCTCCCCACCAACAGTTCTATTCTTTTGATGTAAATAAGAAGTTTTAGGATACTTCTTTTCAATCCTAAACTTGAGGTTTATAGCTGGAATATCTTTGCCCACTTTGAAACATTTTGGACATTTCAGAGTGCAGCTGCAGTTGTAATGATTGGCAGGGGCTACTTGCATTAGGGGACTTAGTGTTACAGGGAGGCAAATGTCTTTTTCCAGAGTCTTCAATAAAGTGGATTTTCCATACATGTCGCACCCTGTAGACAGAGGGAGGCCTGTATGTTGCTTCATCTGGTCACTGATAAAACTTACTGACTTCTTCAGAAATCATATCACTGCAGGGCATTCCACTCTTGGATTCCACTCCATCACAGCATTCCACTATCATTTTGCTTTGTATCTGTGCATTCCTGGGGAAAACAGAATAGGGGGAATCCAAGTGACCTATGAACGTGCTCACTTCCAGGATAAGCTGTTAGTTGATGGGGAAACTTAAGTGGTAGATGTTGGTAGCGTGATCTCTCATGAATTGGTGAACACACTGGCTATGCCATTGCTGTTACTGCTGTTACTGAAACCTGCAACAGGTTTGCAAGTCCTTCCTGGGAAGCACTCGCTGTTGTTGCTGTTTCAGACGGGGTCTGTTGCTCAGCCTGGAGTACAGTGGAGAAATCATGGCTGACTGCATGCAGCCTTGACCTCCCAGGCTGAAGGGATCCGTCCATCTCAGCCTCGCAAGCACCTGGGACAACATGCAGGCTCCACCACCCCTGGCCAATTTTCTTTTAGAGGTGGGGTGTCCTTATGTTTCCCAGGCTGATCTGAAACTCTGGGTTCAAGCAATACTCACACCTCGAACTCTCAATGTGCTGGGATTAGAGGCAGGAGCCACCTCGCCAATCCCTGAACCACTTTCTTATCACAGAAAGCCGGACAGAGGAGGAAGGTGCCTGCAAGCCCTCCTGGGGAACACTGTGTCCTTCTCCATGCCACCCTGCTATTTCCTCTGTACCAACTGCAACATTCTTATTCTTTTGATGTAAATAAGAAGTTTGAGGATACTTCTCTTCAATCCTAAACTGTGGTTTATGGCCATAATATCTTCGCCCACTTTGGGGTGTTTTGGAAATTTCTGCATTGATGGAATGCAAGTAGCAGGAGCTACTTCCATTTGGGGACTGAGTGTTATAGGCAGGCAAATGTCGTTTTCCAGAGTCTTCAATAAACTGGAGTTTCTATACATGTCACTCCCTGTAAACGGAGGGAGGCCCGTATGTTGCTTCATCTGGGAAATTATAAAGCCTTACTGACTACTTTGGAAATCACACCAATTCAGGGCATTCCATTCGTGGATTCCCCTCCATCACAACATTCCACCATCAGTTTGCTTTGTATCTGTGAATTCCTGGGGAAAACAGAATAAGGGGAATCCAAATGATCCACGAATGTGCTCACTTCCAGGATAAGCTGTTAGTTGACGGGGAAACTTAAGTGGGAGGTGTTGGTAATGTGATCTCTCATAAGTTGGTGAACACACTGGCTGTGCCCATAGTTATTATTGCTGTTACAGATGTATCTCCCTCATCAGGCTCCCAGGTCCTTCCTGGAAGTTTGGAAAAAATACCCAGTGGATCTCTGTGTCCTCGGGTTGGAACAGAAAACCTCACATACAGAAGGAGGGCAGGGAACACTTGTGGAACTGTAGTGGTCTCTACATTGTTCGATGGCAAAACCCTGAGTTACAGTGATGAGCAACATGGATGTCAGTGGATGTGAGGGGAATGCCACAATCCTCTGCATCACGAGCTGTGCAGCAGAGTGAGAACAACCGGCAATACTGATCTCAGTTATGCACTTTAAGGTCCCAGATATAAGTAGTCTACTGGTTAGGGATCCACTGTGTGTGTGTGTGTGTGTGTGTGTGTGTGTGTGTGTGTGTGTGTGTGTGTGTGGAGAGAGAGAGAGAGAGAGTGATAGATTGAGTTTGAAGTCCTAGATCATGGAAGTGTTGTGACTAGCAAGTCAACATCTCAGAGAGCAGGATGTCAGGCTGGAGACCCAGGAAACAGGTGACATGAGAGCTGAAATTCAAGGGCAGTGTACAGGAAGGACTTCTTCATCTTGAGGAGGACCCCAGTCTTCTTCTCTGAAGGCCTTCGAGGGACGGGATGAGGCCCACCCACATTGGGGAGGGTAATTATGTTTACCCAAAGTCTGCTGATTTCAGTGCTAGTTCTCACGGAAAGAAAACCCTTCACGGAGACATTTACCCTGGTCTAGTGAACATTTCTCATGTGTTGTCACCTACCAAAGTTGACACATCAGCTATCTCAACATAGCCATTTTATACAAATTTTATTAATGATGAAGGCCTATCCAACAAAGATAGGCGACTTCCTAAGATTCTTTGTTGTCTATTTTTGTCCTGCCCAAGTGACCATTTCACACGCAGCACAAGTCTGGTTAGGAAGCTGAAGCTGATGTGGATGCCTTCCAGGGATGAGGCATAGCGGTATAGTTAGGATGTTTGTGTAAGAACAGTCCCAGAGGGCACAGGTGATGCCCCTGGACACGAAGACTTTACCCTTGTTAGGGCACCCCCAGCAGGACATACGGTCGTCAGGCAGGAGCTGGCCAATGATCCCAGTGTGGCCTCCTACTGAGGGACCTTTCCCTCTAGGGATCCTTGTCCAGTCCAAACAAGTGATTTGCACCTTTGGTTTAGGAAAACTGTCAGAAGGCCGTCATTTCAGAATAGTCATTGACATGGGTTCCTCCTCTTCACAAGCATGGATGGCATTACTGGGTGTTCTGTGTGGGATGCTTAGAAGCTGGGTCACCCCTCCTGTCCCATAGTCCCAGCTCTGTCAGGTGTGATCTTGGGTTCAGGATTCAGTGTGGTTTCAAAATGGGCCTTAGGGTGAGACTGCAGACTCCTCACGGACGGAGAAACCCACCATCTGTACTATCACTGAGTATCTCCGATTCACTGTGGTCCTATGGGACTAAGACACTGTGCTGACACAATGCTGATCTTGCCTTTGCTGTGTCTGCAAGTAGTCAACCACCTCGTTCCATTTGGGCTCACTCTTCCTACCCGCCGAATTTAAGAATATAAGACAAGCCCAAATAACAACTGCCCTGGCCATCCTTGTGGCCATGTTAGCTACCACAGGGTTGCTCAGGGACTGCGTGAGCCCTTGACACACTATGATACTGAGTTGTGTGGTGTCGCCTTGCCGGAATATACTTATTATTCATAGCATCACACACACCAAACAACTTTTGGTACATACTGCTGACATAGGGTTGGCCTTGTCACAGCTCGGTTACTTACAAATCAACTTCAGAATCCATGCCCTGTCTGACACCAGCTACACTACTATTTAATTTACATATTTGAATCAAATAAGTTTCTGAAGTCAAAGGCATTTAAAAAGGTAGCTGGATATTCCTACTTGAAATTCCAAAGCAGTTACGACATACTAGAGATATAGTTGTAAAAATATTCAATGAAAATATTTGAAATGTTAAAGAGATTAAGGAAACATGACTCGTAAATTTATCTGCAATGTAATGCCTGCTTCCTATGTTATTTCATTTATTATTCACGGCAAGTAGTGTAAATACTCTAATTTCTACTTTAGAAACGGGGAAACAGTCTGACAGGATGTAAGTGTCTTGCCCATCGTCTCAAAGCCAGTGTGTGAGAGGCACGATGGAATCCCATGGCTGTGTCATGCCATAGCCTGTAAGGAGACAGCGTAGGTAGGATCCAAGTAATTTTGCTTCAGCAAGTTTCCCTGGTTGCTTTCCCCTTTCTTCTACCTAAGCCCTAGTTCCTTCATCCAGGTCTATAACCTAGATAATCTCACATATTTTGTGGCAAATGGCGTTATCTTAACAAAGGATGCAGATAAAGACATACATAGCGGAAGGAATGAAGGAAGAGGCATGGGCGCTTCCATGGCCTCTATGGGCATGTTATCCTCCAGGTGTTTGGCTAGGCAGAAGCTCTCGGAACCCTGTTTTTGGGGGTTTTGATGGAGGTTTTCATTCTACAGGTGTGATTGGTTAACCTGTTCGCCTGCCATTAGAAATCAACTTAACCCCAGCCCCTCTACCTGTTCTGAAGTTTGAGGATGGGAATGAAAGTCCCAATCCTCTAATCCCCCATCCTAGAGCTACCTAGGAGGTCACAGCCATCTGTCAACTCACTAGCATACAAAAAGACATCACTATGCAAACATACTAAAAATTGTAGGAGTTGTGTGATGGTAAGCAGGTTCCAGGACCAAGTATTTATTTCACAATATCACACATGTGTATACCAGCTCAATCAGAATGCAAAGTTGTAAAAATGATACTATTTTTTTATTCAGACAAAGTCTCATCCACCCAGGCTGGAGTTGCAGTAATGGGAACCTGACTACCTGCATCCTCGACTCCCTAGGCTCAAGGGATCCTCCCACCTCAACTACTAGAGTAGCTGGAACTACACCTACATACATACATGCATAACATGCATGCATTCATTCATTTATTTTCGTTGAGAGGGGGTTTTTCCATGTCGCCCAGGCACATCTCAATCTCCCAGGCGTAAACCATCCTCCTGCCTCCACATCCCAATAAGCTTGGACTACAGGCGTGAGCCACTGCATCTGGCCAAAAATTCCAATAGTGTCTAATATATGAGAATAAATGAACAAAAGATGTGCAATACTTCTTTGACGAAAACTGGATAGATTTATGGAGATTTTTTTAAAGTAAAATATCTCGGATGAATTCAGTTTGCATTCTTTCAGCTTGTCTTCGTTTAGTCCTGTGGTTTCCCCTCCCCTACAACAGAAACACAACAGGAGGGAACATTACTAGCTTAACTGTATTCAGATGAAATTAAAGGTATGCAATGGACACCAAAGTTTTAGTTTTATAGAATGGACTAAAACCAGAAGCCTAAGAGTCACCCTACGGCTAACATTCGACTAGACCTCCATAGAGAGCTTGAAGATGCACTTCCAAGCAGATAAATTAGAAACAGTTTTAAAACACACCCTGCTTTTAGTGCTAGAATGAAACCAAAAGACAGTTCAAGTCAGAGCACATTAAATCAAGTGAACCTATTAAAAGGGGCTTAAAGTAGATAGCAAACATTGTGTGGAATTATACTCAGAATACAACCAGAACACAAAGAAAACATAAGAAACAGAAGGAATTTCTGAAGAAAGAATTCCTTCAGAAGAAATGTATAATTTAAGGTTTTGGCTTGAAACTATGGTCTGGATGTCCAATAGGCTCCTGCAAATAGTCTGAAAACTATCTTTTGAGAAAACAGTTCATGTCACATTAGGAAATAAATAAGTGAAGTGAACAGAAAGGACAGTATCGTGTTTGTTTTTTCTCTATGGTGCAGAAGTGCATAATATTGCCTTGAACCAGTTTCCCCTTTTTTGTTCTTTTTTAATGTACACTAACCATTTGCAACCGGTTTTCACCTATAGTCCTCATGTCAATATGAATAATGACACACTTGTCACCGAAAAGTATTCCAGTTTGTATAATTAATAAAATGATCATACAAGTTTTAAGGTATCACTATTGTGACTGATATTAAAATGTGAATGAGTTATCATAACCAGTGTGGAAAGAACAGTAATGGAGACCGAAACAAAAAAGAAGAGTTAGGCGTCTGGAAAAGCTAAATATTTCCTTCTGAAAGTAACTGCTTTTGAGGAACAACTGGCAAATTTCACAAGCTCTTCCACAGTCTTTGCGATGCTCAGAAATTCGGGCATTACATGAATATATTAAATAATGTATGTGTTCCTAGCATATCAACCATTTCATCCACACACTCTGAAAATATTAGTGTTCAAGAATGTATTCCCTTTCAATGATGCCCTACATTCAATACCTGTGTCTTGTTCATATTCCATGTTGTGCCTTTTCCATTTTCTTCAAGATTGTTTAATCTACTGGATGCTCTCTTCCTAGCTATTTCTAAAAAATATCTACTAAATTTATGACTTTCAGATTAGTTTTCCTTTTGTTAATGGTTCAAACCTTTCATTTATTGTCTGTTTCCTTTTCCCTTAAGTTTATTCTGTGACTCATTTATTATTTTTTCTTTCTTAATATTATGCTGTTGTATCATGTAATTTGCTATCTATTTTAATAAGACATATAATTAATGCTATGACTGTCCTAAGAATCCAATTGAGGCTTGTCCAGTGGGCTCCCGGAAATTGTCTGAAACCAATCTTTTAATGCAAATAGTCTAATGGAGTTGTTCAGCAGTGTGGAATACAAACGTTTAGGTAACTTCTCCCCTAAACATGCAGTGCTCCCTTTAAATTCAGAAGTTCTTCTAATTAAGTCAGCAATTTGGAAAAGATGTGTAAAGATACCTATGTTGACTTCTCAGGACTTAGTACATCATAGTCTTTGAAGTTTAAATCGTATCATTTGAAGACTCAAGGCAGAAATCTGTAATATATTACCTCTGATACGGTTCGAGGTTACCATATGTGTCTTCGATCTAATTACACACAACACAATAGCTCATGAAGACTGACAGGAGGGCAGCAAGCATGCCTAGCACAGGCATCTCACAACCAGCTTGAACATCACTGATTTACATGCATGATCCCTACTTCATGGGCCACAAAACGTGACTGTCTCTTCCATTTCATTATTCAGTCATTCCAGGCTTCACTGCAAGAAGACTTTAAAATGCAATCATTGGGTCCTGCAAGGGAAGTGGCTCACGCCTATAATCCCAGCACTTTGGGAGGCCAAGGCGGGTGGATCACTTGAGATCAGGAGTTTGATGCCAATCTGGCCAACATGGTGAAACCCCGTCTCCACTAAATATACAGAAATTAGTCGGCCGTGGTAGCACACACCTGTATTCCCAGCTACACAGGAGGCTAAGGCAGGAGAACCGCTTGAACTCGGGAGGTGGAGGTCACAGTGAACAAATATTGGACCACTGCATTCCACCCTGGGTGACAGACTGAGACTCCATGTGAAAAACAATGCAATCATTGTTTAAGAGCCTGAGAGAATTCAGGATTTGACAAAATCCAAGAAAACTCATGAAGGTCTCCATGCAGGAAAACAACATCAAGCAGAGTTTCTGCTCATTATCTTAGGAGCAATGAAATCTCAACTTGGATATTAAAATTGGACTGAAGCTGATTGTTATGATAAACAAATCATGAACATCAGAATATCTTTGTGTTCTCTCCAAGAGAATCAGAGCATACAGAAACCAGCAATGAAGTGGATTTTAATCTGCCTGATGTGCATTCAGTACTTTCAGTAAAAACGGGTGTAGGATTTATGTGATTTGTCCAGAGCTGGTACTAGAATCTCCTTCAGGGTCAGCATATTTCATACAAGGTGATATTACAAATGTATTATGCATTTGAGAAAAGCAGAAATTAGAAAATAATCTGAAAACTGTTAGCTGTTGGTTATACTCAGAAGAAAATACTTTTCTATTTGATGATTCAATATGACTTTGACCCAATTTCTGCTGTAGCTGATGATGTTTCCGTTTTGCAGTCAGGCTTCTGGGGTCTGAACTACCTTCCAGAGAAAGTCTGTATTTGAACTCTGTTTTTCAAGGGACAGTAATGTTCTCTCTTTCTGTTATCAAAAGTGTAGTACTGTGTAATACAGACAGCATGTAAGTTTGAATCTTAATGGATAACATACCTCCTTCTGGCATTTTAAACTGCTCTGATTTTGGCATACCGTTTCCCTGGACCACAGGACCATCTTCATATTCATCCCCAGTCTCTGACTCAGACAGCTCCTGGAGATCAGCTTCCAGGTCAGGCACTAAAAAATTCAAAGGATATAGACTAGAGCAGCCAAACAAGAATGATAAAGAAAGAAATGATCATATTCTTTTCCTCAGCGTTATGCCATAAAAGCCTGTAGGCTACTGTGGTAATAAATGTGATGCAAAGATGTCCCACCTTTGCTTTCCTGTATTATATCTTATCTTAAATGACAATCTGAGACAAATCACACCACACCTACATTTCCCATAGTTTAACATTGTATATTATAAACACACAGCTACCTAGGAAATCTGAAGACTGCCCCACGGATTGCATTGAACACATTACTCTGTGGTAGAGCTGGTACCAATGAACACATTAAGTGAGGTGAACCTACTGAAAAAAGGTTTAAGTAGAAAGCAAACATTGGGCACAGCTTTACTCAAAATATCAGCACGAGACAAAAAAAGATAAGAAACAAATAAAGGAATGTACGAAAAAATGTATAATATTTTGCAAATGCTCTTTTAATGTTCTGGCTTGAATCTATGGTCTGGATGCCAAATGGGCTCCTGGAAATAGTTTGAAAACTATCTCAGAAGAAAATGGTTAATGTCACCTCAGGAACTGCAGAAATGAAGTGAATAGAAGGGCAAATTGTGCAGAAGGGCAAATATATTTATTTGGGCTAGTTTACCCTTCTATAGTTTTTAAGGTACAGGCACCGTTTGTACCAAGTTTTCTCCTACCATGTTGTCAACATGAATAATGCCTCTTTTTACATGTGAAAGCATTCCCGTTTGTAAAATTACATACATGGTCACATTACTCTTAAGCTATCACTATCAGTTTTGTCATCTATATGTGATAGCATTATGAACAGTGTCACAAATGACAAAATGGAAGGATATGGAAATGGGAAACAAGAGTGAGACATATGAAAAAGCCCAAATTTGTTCCTAAATGTTTTTAAGGGACAACTGGCAAATTTCACATTTTTTCCACAGGCTTCGTGATGCTTAATCAGGTATTACATAAATATATTAGATGATGTACGCCTTCCTGGCTTATCAACCATTTCATCCATAGTCTGAAAATATTAGAGTTCAAGATTGCATTCACTTTCAATAATGCCCTTCATTAAATCACTCTGTCTTGTTCATATTTCATGTTTTGCTTTTTCCATTTTCTTCAAGATTATGTAGAACTTTTGAATACTCTATTCATAACTATTTTTTCAAAAGACCAATCTTTTAAATTTATTACATTTCAATTACTTTTCTTTTTACTAATGATTCATACCTGTCTTTTATTCATTACCTCTTTCGTATTCTCTTAAGTTTATTCTGTGGCTCTTCTATTATTATATCGTAGTATTATTTTCTTGATCATGTAATGTGCTATTTATTTTAATACGATGTGCACTTAAAGCTATGATCTCCCAAGAATATGACTGAGGCTTGTTCGGTAGGCTCCAGGAAATTGTCTGAGAAATGCCTTTTAATGTAAATAGTCTAATGAAATGGTTCAGCAGAGTAGAGTAAAAACATTTAGGTAACTTCTCCCTTAAACATAGAGTGTTTCCTTTAACTTCAACAGGTATCCTAATTAACAGTGGCTGATTTGAGAAATATGTGTAAAATATACTTTTGTCAACTATTCAGGAATTAGCACGTTACTGTTGTTGAACTTCAAACCCAATCATCTAATGTCTCAAGGCAGAAACCTCTAATATGTAACCTATGGTGTGGTTAGAGGTGACTATACTAGATGAGTCTTTGACCTAGTTACATGCAGTAGCTCATGAGGGCAGGGGGCATGCTTAGCAGAAGCATCTTACACCCACCTTGAGCATCACTGACTTATATGCATGTTCCCTACTTCATTGGCCACAGAAATCTGATGATCTCTTGCCGTTTTACTATTCAGTCATTCAAGGCTTCACTGTGGGAAGGCTTTAAAATGCAATTATTCTTTAAGAGTCAGAGAATTCAGAATTTGACAAAATTCAAGATCACTCATACGGGGCTCCATACCAGAAAACAAACATCAAGCAGAGTGACTGCTCATTTTCTTAGGGGCCATGAAATCTCAAGTCACACATTATAGTTGGACTAAAGCTGATTGTTATGACAAACAAATCGTGAAAATCAGAATCTTTCTCTTCTGTCCAACAGAACCAGAGCATGTAGAAATCAGCACTGAAATGGATTTTAATCTAGCTGATGTGCATTTACTCTTTTCAATAAGACCAAGGATGTGTGTGGAATTTATATGATTCATCCAGGGTCTCACAAATTATATTAGAGCTGGTGCTAGAATCTGCTTCTAGCACCACACAAACTGGTATTGCAAATGCATTATGCATTTGTTAAAAGCAGAAATTAGAAAAGTATCTGAAAATTATTAGCTGTTGGTTATACACAAAACTAAGAAAATGTAGTCATATTTGATGATTCAATATGGCTTTGACCCAGTTTGTTTCTGTATCTGATAGTGTTTAAGTCTTGCAGTCTGGCCTTTGGGTCTGAAGGATGTTTCAAAGGAAGTTTGCATTCAAACTGTGTTTTTAAAGTGGCAGCAATGTTATCCCTCTATTATCAAAAGTATATTTTGTAAATGAGAAAGCACATAACTTTGCACCTTGATGAATAACATACCTGTTTCTGGCATTTCACAGGGTTCTCCTTTTGATATAATCTTCACCTTGACGCCAGAATGAAAATCCAGAGTCATCCCAGGTCTTTCACTGGCACAGTTCTTGCAGATCACCTTCCATTTCATGCACTTCGAAATACAAAGGTTATCGATTTAAGCAGTCCAACATGAAATACAAATAAGGAAATGATAATAGTCTTTTCCATAGCATTATGAAACAAAGCCTGGTTTGGGCATGGTGGCTCATGCCTGTAATCTCAGCACTTTGGGAGGCCAAGGTCACTTGAACCCAAGAGGTGGAGGTTGCAGTGAGTCAAGATCATGCCATAGCAATCTAGGCTGGCTGACAGATGAGATTCTGTCCCAAAACAAGAAAAAAATGAAAATAAAATAAAAAATAACTGTGTCAGTTAGCATGGTAATGAATGCTGTATAAAGTTGTTACAACTTTGTTTTTCTGCTTTATAATATCCTATTTTATTTTAATTGTTTTTTGAGTCAGGGACTTGCTGTCGTCCAGGTTGGGGTGCTGTAGCACAATAAAGGACCACTGTGAGCCCAATGTCTCAGGCTCAACAAAACCTCCTGTCTCAACATCCCAAGTAGCTGAGTCTGCAGGTACACCCCACTACCAAGGCTAATGTTTGTTTAGTTGGTTGGTTGGTTGGTTTGAGACAGGATTTCTCAATGTTGTCCAGGCTGGTGTTAGACTCCTGGGATCAAGGGATTTGCCCCACTCAGCCTCCCAAAATTTTTGGATTATATTCATGAGCAACCGCTCCTGGCCTAATGTCTTATTTTAAATTACAATCTAGGGGGAGGACTCAAGATGGCGCTGTGAGAACAACCCAGGATTGGAGTTCTCGTTGTGTCTGCGGAGAGGTGAGTCTGAGCTGCATTTCCAGACTGATCCTTGTTGCTCACGGAATGGGGAAATTCCCAAGTGAAGAGGAGACGCGGGATGCCAGGCAGATATTACGCCTGGTGAAGCCGGCAGCCGGGGTGGCGGCGGCCGGCCCTACCCAGCGCTCCCCACAGGGCGCACTTGTCCGGGTGCCCCGTTGAACTGGCAACTGGAGACGTGAGAGGGCTAGACTCGAGACTGTGCTAGACTTGAACAGTGGGCCAGCCCAGGGGATTGCAGGAACAGAGCGTTAGGATTGGCCCAGTGGGACGAACAAAACCGCGATTTCAAACAAGCCCCGTGCAGACGACCCGAGACGCTCTGAGGGGGAGGGGCGGCCACCATTACCGAGGTAACCCGCCCCAACTGAGATACACGCCCATTGCTGATGCAGCCAGCTGTTGCCGAGGCAACCCGTCCCTACTGAGATACACGCCCACTGCTGACGCAGCCAGCCGTTGCCGAGGCAACCCGTCCCTACTGAGATACACGCCCACTGCTGACGCAGCCTGCCGTCGCCGAGGCAACCCGCTACAACAGAGAGAATCCGCCGCAGGGCGTGGCGGAGAACAGCAGAACAGCAGAGCCGGGGCGAGCCTCACAACAGCAGGGCGGAGCCTCGGCAGGCAAACAGTGGCTAGTCTGCATCCTAGCTGGGCAGGACCTCAACGGACATCTAAAAATAAAGCCCAAACCCCTCAACACAGCATTTGAGAAAAAAAAGTGTTTTTTTAATGAGCTCTGTTGCAGCAGAATCAAACATAGCAGCCTAACAGCCCTGAATGAACAACACAGCTCACAGCTCAGCAATTAAACCCCTATAAAGTACAAACTGTCTCCTCAAGCAGCTCCCTGACCCCTCTACATCCAAAAGACTGTCATTAGGCAGGCATCATCCTGGGACAAAGAGAGCAGAAAAAGAAACTGGTAGCATCCCTCGCTGTGCCATGGCTACTAGAGGTGCACCCCAGACAAGCAGGGTCTGGAGCGGACCTCAACAGTCGTACAGCGAAGGGGCTAGACTGGTAGAAGGAAAACCAAGCAACAGAAATACTTCATCATCAAAATTCTGGGTGTCCACTCAGAGACCCAAACGAAAAGTCAGCAACTACGCAGACGACCAGCGGACAAATCCACAAAGATGGGAAGAAACCAGCGCAAAAAGGAGGAAAACACCCGAAACCAGAACACATCGCCTCCTAGAAAGGACCAAAACTCCTCACCAGCAAGGGAACAAAGCTGGACGGAGAATGACTGTGACGAAATGACGGAATTAGACTTCAGAAGATGGATAATGAGAAACTTTTGTGAGCTAAAAGAGCATGTATTAAATCAATGCAAAGAAACTAAGAACCTTGAAAAAAGATTTGAAAAAAGATTCGAGGAAATGATTACAAGAATGGATACCTTAGAGAGGAATATGAATGAATTAAAGGAGCTGAAAAACACAATACGAGAACTTCGCGAAGCAAACGCAAGTTTCAATAGCCGAATTGACCAAGCAGAAGAAAGAATATCTGAAGTCGAAGACCAACTCAATGAAATAAAACGAGAAACCAAGATTAGAGAAAAAAGCACAAAAAGGAATGAACAAAGTCTCCAAGAAATGTGGGACTATGTAAAAAGACCTAACCTACGTTTGATAGGTGTACCAGAAGGGGACGAAGAGAATGAATCCAAGCTGGAAAATACTCTTCAGGACATCATCCAGGAAAATTTCCCCCACCTAGCAAGACATGCCAACACTCAATTGCAGGAAATTCAGAGAACACCACAAAGATATTCCGCAAGAAGAGCAACCCCAAGGCACATAATCGTCAGATTCAATAGGGTTGAAATAAAGGAGAGAATACTAAGGGCAGCCAGAGAGAAAGGTCGGGTCACCCACAAAGGGAAGCCCATCAGACTCACAGCAGATCTCTCGGCAGAAACACTACAAGCCAGAAGAGAGTGGGGGCCAATATTCAACATTCTTAAAGAAAAGAACTTTCAACCCAGAATTTCATATCCAGCCAAACTGAGCTTCAGAAGTGAAGGAAAAATAAAATCCTTTGCGAACAAGCAAGTACTCAGAGATTTTGTCACCACCAGGCCTGCTTTACAAGAGCTCCTAAAAGAGGCACTAGACATAGAAAGGATCAACCAGTACCAGCCATTCCAAAATCACACTGAATGCTAAAGAGCATCAACATAATGAAGAATCTACAACAACTAACAGGCAAAACAGCCACTTAGCATCAAAATGGCAGTATCAAATTCACACATAACAATATTAACCCTAAATGTAAATGGATTAAATGCACCAATCAAAAGATACAGACTGGCAAATTGGATAAAAACCCAAAACCCATCAGTGTGCTGTATCCAGGAAACCCATCTCACATGCAAGGATACACAAAGGCTCAAAATAAAGGGATGGAGGAAGATTTACCAAGCAAATGGAAAGCAAAAAAAAGCAGGAGTTGCAATTCTCATCTCCGATAAAATAGACTTTAAAGCAACAAAGATCAAAAGAGACAAAGAAGGCCATTACATAATGGTAAAAGGATCGATACAACAAGAAGAGCTAACCATCCTAAACATATATGGACCCAATGGAGGAGCACCCAGATACATAAGGCAAGTTCTTAAGGACTTACAAAAGGACTTACACTCTCACACAATAATAGTGGGAGACTTTAACACTCCACTGTCAATACTAGACAGATCTACCAGACAAAAAATCAACAAGGATATCCAGGGCTTGAACTCAGACCTGGAGCAAGCAAACCTGATAGACATTTACAGAACTCTCCACCCCAAATCCACAGAATACACATTCTTCTCAGCACCACATCACACCTACTCTAAAATTGACCACATAATTGGAAGTAAAGCACTGCTCAACAAATGCAAAACAACTGAAATCATAACAAACAGCCTCTCAGACCATAGTGCAATCAAGTTAGAACTCAGAATTCAGAAACCGACCCAGAACCGCACAGCTTCATAGAAACTGAACAACTGGCTCTTGAATGTTGACTGGGTAAACAACGAAATGAAGGCAGAAATAAAGAAGTTCTTCGAAACCAATGAGAACGAAGACACAACGTGCCAGAACCTCTGGGACACATTTAAAGCAGTCTCTAGAGGAAAGTATATAGCAATAAGTGCCCATATGAGGAGAATGGAGAGATCCACAATTGACACCCTATCGTCAAAATTGAAAGAGCTAGAGGACCAAGACCAAAAAAACTCAAAACCCAGCAGAAGACAAGAAATAACTAAGATCAGAGATGAGCTGAAGGAGATTGAGACACGAAAAACCCTTCAAAAAATCAATAAATCCAAGAGCTGGTTTTTTGAAAAGATCAACAAAATAGACAGACCACTAGCCAGATTGATTAAAAATAAAAGAGAGAACAACCAAATAGATGCAATAAAAAATGATAAAGGGGAAATCACCACAGATTCCACAGAAATTCAAACCATCATCAGAGAATATTACAAACAACTCTATACGCATAAACTAGTAAACCTGGAAGAAATGGACAAATTCCTGGATTCCTGTGTCCTCCCAAGCCTAAACCAGGAGGAAGCTGAAACTATGAATAGACCAATAACAAGGTCTGAAGTTGAGGCAGCAATTAAGAGCCTACCACACAAAAAAAGCCCAGGTCCAGACGGGTTCACAGCAGAATTCTACCAGACACACAACGAAGAGCTGGCACCATTTCTTCTAAAACTATTTCAAACAATCCAAAAAGAGGGAATCCTTCCCAAATCATTTTATTAGACCAACATCATTCTGATACCAAAACCTGGCAGAGACCCAACAAGAAAAGAAAACTTCAGGCCAATATCCATGATGAACATAGATGCAAAAATCTTCAATAAAATAATGGCAAGCCGATTGCAACAGCAAATCAAAAAACTTATTCATCATGATCAAGTAGGATTCATCCCGGGGATGCAAGGCTGGTTCAACATACGCAAGTCTATAAATGTAATTCACCACATAAACAGAACCAAAAACAAAAACCACATGATTATCTCAATTGATGCAGAGAAGGCATTTGACAAAATTCAACAGCCCTTTATGCTAAAAACCCTCAATAAACTCGGTATCGATGGAACGTATCTCAAAGTAATAAAAGCTATTTATGACAAACCAACAGCCAATATCATACTGAATGGGCAAAAACTGGAAGCATTCCCTTTGAAATCTGGCACTAGACAAGGATGCCCTCTTTCACCACTCCTATTCAATATAGTACTGGAAGTTCTAGCCAGAGCAATCAGGCAAGAAAAAGAAATAAAGGGTATTCAAATAGGAAAGGTGGAAGCCAAATTGTCTCTATTTGCAGACGACATGATAGTATACCTAGAAGACCCCATTGCCTCAGCCCAAAAACTCCTGAAACTGATAAGCAACTTCAGCAAAGTCTCAGGATATAAAATCAATGTGCAAAAATCACAAGCATTCGTCTACACCAATAACAGACTTAAAGAAAGCCAAATCAAGAGCGAACTGCCATTCGCAATTGCTACAAAAAGAATAAAATACCTTGGAATACAACTCACAAGGAACGTAAGAGACCTCTTCAAGGAGAACTACAAACCACTGCTCAACGAAATCAGAGAGGACACAAACAGATGGAGAAACATTCCATGTTCATGGTTAGGAAGAATTAATATCGTGAAAATGGCTATACTGCCCAAAGTAATTTACAGAATCAACGCTATCCCCATCAAGCTACCATTGAATTTCTTCACAGAACTGGAAAAAACCACCATGAACTTCATATGGAACCAAAAGAGAGCCCACATAGCCAAGTCAATTCTAAGCAAAAAGAACACAGCAGGGGGCATCACACTACCGGATTTCAAACTATACTACAAGGCTACAGTAATCAAAACAGCATGGTACTGGTACCAAAACAGAGATATAGACCAATGGAACAAAACAGAGGCACTGGAGGCAACACAACATACATACAACTATACAATCTTTGATAAACCTGACAAAAACAAGCAATGGGAAAAGTATTCCATGTTTAACAAATGGTGTTGGGAAAACTGGCTAGCCATGTGCAGAAAGCAGAAACTGGACCCCTTCCTGACACCTTACACTAAAATTAACTCCAGATGGATTAAAGACTTAAACATAAGACCTGGCACCATAAAAACCCTAGAAGAAAATCTAGGCAAAACTATCCAGGACATAGGAGTAGGCAAGGACTTCATGAACAAAACACCAAAAGCATTGGCAACAAAAGCCAAAATACACAAATGGGACCTAATCAAACTCCACAGCTTCTGCACGGCAAAAGAAACAGTCACTAGAGTGGATCGGCAACCAACAGAATGGGAAAAAATTTTTGCAGTTTACCCATCTGACAAAGGGCTGATATCCAGAATTTACAAAGAACTCAAACAGATTTACAGGAAAAAAACAAACAAGCCCATTCAAAAGTGGGCAAAGGATATGAACAGATACTTTACGAAAGAAGACATATATGAGGCCAACAATCATATGAAAAAATGCTCATCGTCACTGATCATCAGAGAGATGCAAATCAAAACCACATTGAGATACCATCTCACGCCAGTTAGAATGGCGATCATTAAAAAATCTGGAGACAACAGATGCTGGAGAGGATGTGGAGAAAAAGGAACACTTTTACACTGTTGGTGGGAGTGTAAATTAGTTCAACCATTGTGGAAGACGGTGTGGCGATTCCTCAAGGCCTTAGAAATAGAAATTCCATTTGACCCAGCAATCCCATTACTGGGTATATATCCAAAAGACTATAAATCGTTCTACTATAAGGACACATGTACACGAATGTTCATTGCAGCACTGTTTACAATAGCAAAGACCTGGAATCAACCCAAATGCCCATTGATAATAGACTGGATTGGAAAAATGTGGCACATATACACCATGGAATATTATGCAGCAATCAGAAATGATGAGTTTGTGTCGTTTGTAGGGACATGGATGAATCTGGAGAACATCATCCTCAGCAAACTGACACAAGAACAGAAAATGAAACACCGCATATTCTCACTCATAGGTGGGTGATGAAAAATGAGAACACATGGACACAGAAAGGGGAGTACTAAGCACTGTGGTCTATTGGGGGGAAAAGGGGAGGGTCAGTGGGAGGGGGAGGTGGGGAGGGATAGCCTGGGGAGAAAAGCCAAATGTGGGTGAAGGGGAGAAGAAAAGAAAGCACACTGCCATGTGTGTACCTACGCAACTGTCTTGCATGCTCTGCTCATGTACCCCAAAACCTATAATCCAATAAAAAATTAAAAAAATAAAATTACAATCTAAGTATAAATCGAACTACACCTAAATTTCCTATACTTTACCATTGTGTATTATGAACAGCGTGTATCAACTATGAAATCTGAAAGTCAGCCACATGAATACCACTTTAATCATAAATGAAATGTAATTTTCCAAAGAATTAGATCAATGTACTGGTGAACCTACGATAAATCTTACACTTGTGAGACCCATCCATTGTTGAGGTAACCTGGAATTATTTGGATAGTTAATTAACTTTATGCTATGCTTAGGTCCAAGAACCATATATGTAACTTTCTATAAATGATTCTCATTCAAAAAAATGTACCAGGAATAACAGGAAAACCACTATCTTGCAGTGAGAGTATGGAAAGTAGAGTGCAAAGAAATTAATGGGCACTGTTGACAGTCATATCTGGAAACATCTTAATGGTGAATTGTTAAAATAATTGATGGCCCAAATTCTGTCAATGCTTAGCTTGAATGCTATCTGTTGAGGATATATTTTCTGGATCAGGATAATCTTAGTTAGAGTTTTCTAAATATGAAAGTATTTAAACAACTGTTGGAACCCCCTTAAAAATACTAATATAAGCTCCTTGTATGCCAGTGTTCTGAATTATCCAACTTTTATCAAAAATACTGTCAAAAAGACAGATCAAGGAAACAGTGGCTGTCATTCATTGAGCTCTTTTCTAGAGTTACTATTGTGGGAATTATGGAAAAAAATATTAGAGAAAGTAATAGAACATAGTCTCATTCCCTTTTGGAAGGCCTAAGGGTTTTTTCTATACTTCTTGGCTGAAGGCAGCCTAAATCCCCTTCACAGTTGGTTAATAAGTAAAGCAAATAGCTAGGGCATGTGGGGTAGTTAACTTAACTAACTTGTTTGCCCATGTGGTCTTAAAAATAACCTTTGAGCCAGATGGCCCTCTCAGGAGAGGTCAACCAGGGATTTTACCCTTTAATCGTGTTTGGTTTGTGCGTCCAAATCTGTCCTTTAATCTCTTCACTCAAGAGATTGGTGTTGACTCAAGTCTTTGTCAATTAAACTTTACTAACTAAATGCAAGTCTCTCTCCCTGGTAGGGGCCGGTGGCTGCTATCTCTTTACAGCACACTCCAGGGTGCCTGTAGGCGGCCAGGGACCCTCAGCTGAACTGGCAAAGCATAATATCTGTGTGTCAGTGTACTTTACTCATACTATCCTGCTTCACTGAACTGTTTTGTCCTAAGCCAATACTGAAGTACTTACAGCACAGACACAATAAAGTATTATGCATCTTAAGCAAACCACTCACTTTCTATTATTAGAGCATGGATTTTAGAAAGATCAGAAGAAACCTTTCAACAAAATATGAATTCCTTCTCCATGAGTCAAGTGTTCTGTGTAAGCCTCAATCTCTGAGCCTCCATTTTCTTATTTGTAAAATTAGGCTAACATCCCTTTGCAAATGGGCCATATTCATGGTGTTATAAAGTTGGGTGACTTGGCACTCCACGGGCTATTAAAGGGTACTCACAACACTGTGGACACTGTCCTGAGAAGACCATACAGCAACATTCTAAGATCAAATTAAACTAGTGAACTAACTAACGTATATTCTTATATAACAAATTAAATGGTTTTAAGTGATTTAGTAAGGACTATATTTTCAAACATAGGAAATCCAACTTGAAGAAAAAAAGAAGAGTCATTATATGCAAAATCTGCATGAAGCGGCAAACTATAATCTCCCCTTTCAAGCCAACTTTGAGCAAATGTTCACTGTCTTTTCCTAATGATTTTTTTCCTCCTGTTACTGCTCATGGCATAAGGCGTGAGGCATGCAGACACCTCCTCCTGCCCATAGACAATCCTTCCTTCCCTTCCTGTTACCTTGGGAAGGGAAAACCTGATCGTGTTATCTCTCCCATTCAGGCGTAAGATCCCAACGTTCTGTTGGTGGTTCCTTTTCTTGGGGGTCTCCATTACTGGGCTTCTGGGATTTGGTGTCTCTGTATGTGCTGATAAAAAGTTTTGTTATTAATACATGTCGATAATATAAATATACAGAATACATAGATATTGCTTATCACAAGTATATCTACAGACATTTCTTCAACACTACCCCGTATACTTGTTCTTCATAATGTTATTCTTTCCTCAGAGAGGTTACACCAAGGCAGTTATCCTCAAGGACTTTGGAAGCCGTTTTAATCTATGTTGGGATGAATGTTTGTAACCTGTTATGAATAAGCATGAGGAAGAAGTTATGGACAAAATCTGGGAACACAAGATCATCCATCCATACAAAACTCAAATATAATCCTCTGGACTAGACTTTCCTTCATGAGATGCCATGATCATTTTTTATCAGCATGAAATACCATTATCAGTGTATCCGTACTAATCTAACAACTGATCAGAAAAATCACTTCCTCCTAAGAAAAAACACCAAAGGTTAAGACATTCACAAGTAGAGGTACAGTGAGATCAGGAGGCTGTGGACTTCTTCTGAGTATAGGCCCATATGTTGATCTTCCTCACCAACACATATTTCACTCTGCAAGCAGAACAGTGTCAATGGGAAAATGCACATGACAGGACAACTGTATTTGACAAATTTCATGGTCAAATATTAACCTGGTCATTTTTTTAAAAATTTAGAAACACTCTGAAAGTCCAAGTGTGTGTGACTTTCAAATCCAATGCGTGCAAAGTCACTGAAGTTGGTCCAGCTAGATGAGTAACGTCTTAAGGCTCCTGGCAAAAGACACAGGGTGTTTCCCACGAGGTTGGTTTCACAACTGGACACTTCCTCAGGGAAACAAGTAGGAAATCAGAGTTAGACAATTAAAACTGCAGTGACCGGGCGTGTGACTGTAATCCCAGCGACTGGGGAGGCTGAGGCAGGAGAATTGCTTGAACCCGGGAGGCGGAGGTTGCAGTGAGCTGAGATCGCGCCACTGCACTCCAGCCTGGCGACAGAGCGAGACTCCATCTCAAAAAAAAAAACCTGCAGTGACCACGAATTTTGTCACACACTCATTTTCTAGGCCTACTTTCCCACAAAAATCACATTTTCAGGAACTCAGAGTCCCACCCACTAGAATCTCCACAATGGAGTTGACAAGCTGCCACACAGCATACCTACGCCAGGCACTCTACAGACCTCGGGGCTGCGGTCACTAGCCCCAGCATTACCCGTCTCCAGGTCCGTTCCATAACACTCACGCTGTCCCTCCCCGGTCACCTATGAGAAGTCTAGAATCATCTGTGACAGTTCCAGGAGCTTCCGGGACTCAGATACCTCCAGCAGCACCCCAGCTTCACCTGAACCCTTCCACTCCTCGGCCCTCCTTCCTCCTTAGTTACGGCCCAGACAAGACAACACAAGCCCATGGCCATGGCGCCGCAACAGAAGGACGACGACTTTGAGGCCCTTCTCATTCGGAGTCACCAACCACCCTGCTCGACCCTCCTCCCGAAGCCCGCTGGCTCCTCCTCACTCTCACTCACACTTCAACTCTCAGTTGGATCAGTTTGTGGACCTACCAGCTGCGTCGCAGTAAGAGAGAAAGAATCCACACCTCAGGGACCGGAGCTGCAGTCTTACGCGGTCTTCACCAAATGGGCAAAGGGGCCTATGGGAAGACGCTCAGTGAGCATGCGCACTGAGTCGGGAGTCCCAGGAGCATGCGCAGTGAGGTCCCCTCTTGCCTTAAGGGCTATGGTACCCCCTCCTTGTCCTGCCTCACTCTGTCCTGTGCTCCTTCCCAGGTCCTCTCTAATGACTTTGGAATCCCTCCTCTCTGTGTGTGAGGTTTTTTTTGGTTTGCTTTGTTTCTTTGCCTCCAGGACTCAAATACTTGATATAATGTCACCCTTCAAAACTCACTCCATGTTAACCTGACCCTCCTCCTATCTGTGGCCCTCCTTCTTACCATGCCTGGGACCCCACAACGGCAAGGCCATGGCGGTATCACTGACTTTTAGCAGAAAGATGATGACCTCAGAGGCCATGGACCCACAGGAAGCCCTCCCACTCCCCCTTACACTCACTCACAGTTCAACTTCTGATAGGACTAATCTGTAAACATAATGGCTACGTCGTAGTCAGCAAGAAAGAAGGAAGTCATGACATCTCCTTTCACAGCTGTGCAGGGACAGAAGGCACACAGCAAGGTGCATGGGCAGCAAGGAATGTGAACAGAAAGGGACATGCAAATTGAGCCAGGGACTTTGCAGGTCAGGGTAGGGTGTTCCGCTGCTCCCAGACCCACATCCACAAGACATTTGTAGTAGAAGAGACTTGAGAGCTATTGTTTCCCTTTGTCTTGTATTCAGAAACGTTGGGAACAGACAGTCCTTAGTGGAGGATGTGTCTCAGAAAGACCTTTTGTGGAAGAAAGAAATTATTTTCATGTCTTCATTTATAAATCCTGTTTTCTTCTTTCAGACAGGGTGTCAGTCTCTCACTCAGGCTGGAGGGCAGTGGCATGACCATACCTCACTGAAGCCTCTATCTCCTGGCTCAAACAATCCTCCCAATGTAGCCTCCCCAGTCCCTGCTACTACAGGTGCAGACACCACATCTGGGTAATTGCTTTATTTATTGTTTACGTAGTGGTCTCACTACCTTGCCTATGCTGGTCTCAATATCCCGGGTTCAAGTGATCCTTGGCCAGTTTTATAAATGCTTTTATTAATCACTTTGTTCTCTGGCTCTGGGTTTTCTGCCATGCTTCCAATGGATGTAATCGAATACATTTTCTGCAGACTAAATACATTCACACCTGTTTCCTCTTTTTCTTTTCTTTTTTTTTTTTTTTAGCTTGTGTTACTTCACATATAAATCTCTGGACTGGTAACCGATTTGCCTGAATATACCTGTAGGTCCTTCAGACAGTGTATGTTTCAGCAATACCCAGAGATTCTGATTGTAGGCTCTAGGCTCAGTTATGACCAGAAACCAAGTCCTGCCAGTCTCCTACCTCAAATATATGTTTGTGTATTGACCTGATCCCTAGGACAAGTTTCCCAGACTGAAACCATGGTATCGTAAAGCCAGATGCTTTCTTGAGGGGATGGAGTAACATCCATATTTTCAAACGCTGCACAAATAATTAATGGATAAAAAATGTATGCAATAATGTAAAGCAGAACAGTAGGAATTTAATTAATACAGGGTCACCAAATTTTGCTTTCACAGGTCTGGTCGTAAATATTTCATTCCTTGTAGGTCCTGTAGTTTTTGTGACATGTTGTTAGAAATAATACTTTTATATAGAAAAAAATGTGTTTATCTCAATGACTATGCAAAACAACACATGGGATGTATTTAGAGCTCAAGCTGTACTCAAGCCCCTGGATTATGTTTTACTTCAAATATTTGAATGCTGTATTTTTGTACCAGTAGTCAAAAGAGCAACAAAGGAGAGATCTACCACCAGATGAGACTTAGAAAACCTCGAGAGAAAGTCACTGTAGCCCTGAGGATGAGAAAAAGCCTAATAATCTATAAGTTTATCTTTTGCTTTGATTTGTTTTTAGATCATGAGCGACCTAGGTAACCAGGCAGCCTTGGAAACTGATACAAAAGGGTGACCAGTCCCTCTGAGGAGACATGAGACACACAAACCGCATTACCTCTGGCAGAGCATGTGTGGAGGTGACAGTCTTAAGAAGGGCTAAGAAGGAAATCACTGAATATGTTACACATTCATAAAGTTCAAACACAGGGAATTGAGAGAGCTGGAATCCTGGGAGGTCTCAGACACACGTGGAATTCACGTTCACAGACAGAAAAAGATTCTCTCTGAAAACATCATCGGAGTCTTTAAGAAATAAAAAGCAAGAACGAAAATAACAGATGCTGCTGAGTTTGTGTAGAAAAGGCAACTCTTGCACCCTGTTGGTTGGAGTATAAATATAAATAAGTTCAACAGTTTTGGACAGGAGTGTGGCAATTCCTCACAGACCTAAGAACAAAACTACCATTTGACCCAGCAATCCGATTGCTGTGACTATACACAAAGCAACATAAACCTTTCTATTAAAAAGACACGTGCATGCATATGGTCATTACAGCGCTTTTCACGATAGCAAAGTCACGGAACCCACCTAAATGTCAATCAGTTATCGGCTCAACTTTTTAAAATGTGGTACATACACAGCGTGGAATACTATGCAGCCATAAAAAGAGTGAGATCATGTGCTTTGCGGGAACATGGAAGGAGTTTGAAGACATTATCCTTAGCAAACTAATGCAGGAACAGAAAACCCAATACCACATAAACTCACTTATAAGTGGGAGCTAATAGATGAGTACACACGGACACCCAGAGAGGGCCACCACACCAAGGCCTATAAGAGGGTGGATGCTGGGAGGAGGGAGAGGATCAGGAAAAATAAGTAATTGGTACTGACCTTAATACCTGGATGACAAAATAATCTGTACAGCCCTGTGACATGAGTTTACCTATATTACAAACCTGCACATGCACCCTCGAACCTAAAATAAAAGTTAAAAGAAAAGTCACAAAAAATTGTGAACTATTCTGACCTTTCTACTTAAAAATTATCAATTCATTTCTTTTTATAAAAATGAGGAAAGTAGGAAGGGAGAGAGGGACGAAGGGAGTGAGGGAGGGAGAAAGAAAGAAGGACAAAGGGAGTGAGGGAGAGAGGGAGGAAAGAAGGAAGGCAGGGATGGAGGCAGAGGAAGGGAGGACAGAAGAAAGGGAAGGGGGATGAGAGGGAGGGAAGGAGGAAAAATTAAGGAAGGAGTGAAGAGAAGGAAGGGAGGGAGGGAGGGAGGGAGGGAGGAAGGAAGGAAGGAAGGAAGGAAGGAAGGAAGGAAGGAAGGAAGGAAGGAAGAGAAAAGTAGGACTGAACAAACGTTTCCATTTCTAGCCAAACAACTTTTGATGGGAAGGCACTTTTAGCAACTTAAGTGACAAATAACATAAATCAGAAGATTTTAATCATCTCCACATACAGCCTTTCAAAATTTATTCTAGCCTTTGTTTCTAAGCGACTAAAACCTGCCTTGGGCTCCATTGAATCCATGTATTCTCTGGAAGGGCAAGTCTCCCCTGGATTAACAGCCCAGCTGAGGACCAACACAGAATGGTTAGTTTGGGAAGAAAAAGCAAAGAAAAATGCAGGAGACCAACATTTCCTCCCCCATGATATTGTTTTCTTTACTTTTCCTCCTTAATCCACAGAGGGATATTGGAATACCCAAATTTCAAAGATACGAGAGCTCTGAGAGATCATCCTACATAGGTGTTTTTCAAAGAATTTTTAGCAATAGAATACTTTTGTGTAATGAAATTTTATCCAAACCCCTAGTGTAGAAAGTGGGGGGATAAAATAATATTTTTCATATAAATGTACCACTTTAGTTTCAAGATATGTTCTGTGAAAGCTGTCAAAGGGTCTGATTGAGGTTCTTTTGAAGAACCTAGCAAATTATTCTGTGGATTTCTGCATAACACTTTAGTTCTATATTAACTTCTGCATCTAATTTTTTGGCGTTTTTATTGTTGTGGCACAGTTGCAAGAAGATGTTGATTTTTCCAAAATGTTTAACAGTAATCTATATCTAGAAAAAAAGAACCGCACTGTAAAAATAAATAAGTTGTAAGGAAATGATGGAAGAAGATTTATCCTGCAAATATGAATCACATAAACAAAAAGTATCAGATTAACACCTCACAAAGCATACTTTATAGTGGAGATTATTACAAGGGAAAAAGTGGGACATTACATTACAATCGTAGAGAAGTGCTACGATACAGATGACAGAAGCACCATGAATATGTGTGCACCTTCAAAATGCATGATAGAAAACTGATATACTACAAAAAAGAAATAAACACATGTGCATTTGGTAGAAGATTTCAACATTACTCCCAGCAATTGGTAAAAAAGTGTACCAAAAAATCAGGATAAATCAGGATATATAAATGCAGAAGGCTTGAACAACACTATAAAACGACATGGCCTAATTGATATTCTTAGACCAACAGCAGCATGCACATTCTTCTCTAGTGCTCATGGAATGTTCACCAAGATAGAACATACTGTGGACCAAAAAACTGATATCGACAAATTCAGAAGGAATGAAATGTTATCAAACATGATCTATAACCAAAAATAATTGAAATGAAAATTAGTTGTAGAAAGTGGGGTACCATGAAAAAAGACCTTAAGAATGTGATCATTGAAATTAGACACTGTTAGTGTACTTTGTAAGAATTTATTCCTTCAGGATTAATTACCCATGGGCTCATCAGCACCTTTGTAAATAAACGGAGAAAAATCACGTGGCATCTATGAAGTGGAAAGATGAGGAAGTAAGGGAGACCACAACAGGATGGCTCTCCACTTGTTTGAAATAGTCTACGTGAAGTACCCGCCTCCTTTCCTGTTCCGTCAATATTCTCATCCTACACCTGACTGTTCCCACTTTAGGTGGGATATTCTAAATAGGATTGTCGTCAAGTGTTGGTGGGGATGTTGCAACATGAGTGTATCCATCATCGGGCATCTTAAAACAAAAGATGAATGAAGTGGAGAGTTTTATGATCTGTTGTTAAATGCGCTGCTTTTGGGTGTGTGGCTCTCAGCAGTCCC